TCAGGCTGGTTAGAATCCTTCTTGGACAAAACTTCAGTTGAGGACCCTCATAAAAGGTTAGCTGCTTGGGAGACCCTCAGAGCCATCCATCTGCAGGATACAGAAGGCTGGACATGGAAAAATTGTTAGCCTCTTCTATGGTCTTATTATTAATTAACAGAAAAGTAAGAATGAATTATTGTTTGTGTTTGCTGTCACTTAAAAAAAACACAGATGGTATATGAATCTGGATACCATTATGACAAGTGGAAATCAGACGTGGAACATGAAATTTATCCTTCTGGGCTTGTCCAATCATCCAGGAACTCAAAGAGGCCTATTTGCACTTTTTCTGATAACATATCTTGTGACTCTGACAGGGAATATCCTCATCATACTAATAATCAAAAGAGACCCACAACTGCACACCCCAATGTATTATTTCCTGAGCCACCTATCTTTCCTGGACATGTGCTACACCACCACAATCATCCCTCAGATGCTGTACAACCTCCTGGCAGATTGCAAAACCATTTCCTTTGGGGGTTGTGTTGTGCAAATGTTCATCTCCCTGTCTCTTGGAGGTACTGAATTCATCCTGTTGGCTGTCATGGCATATGACCGGTACATGGCCATCTGCCATCCCTTGCGATACAATATTGTTATGAGACAGCAGCTCTGTGTGCAGATGGCACTTGGATGCTGGCTCTGTGGGTTTCTGAATGCCCTGGTGCAGACAGTGTTCACTCTGCAGTTGCCATTCTGTGAAATAAAGACAATCAACCATTTTGGCTGTGAAGTGTTAGCTGTTCAGCAGTTGGCTTGTTCTAACACCTTCATTAGGGATACTGTGATGCTGGGAGCAGGTGTCCTCATTCTGCTGACCCCTTTTTTCCTGGTGCTGTTGTCTTACATGTCCATTCTTTCAACCATCCTTCATATTCATTCAGCAGAGGGAAGGCACAAAGCTTTTTCCACCTGTGCAGCCCACTTAACCGTGGTGATCCTGTGCTTTGGGACAGCCATCTTCACCTATTTGCGTCCCAGCTCTCACAATTCATCCAAGCTGGGGGGAAAAACTGTCTCATTGTTCTACTGTGTTGTCACACCAATGCTGAATCCCATGATCTACAGTCTGAGGAACAAAGAGGTAACAGGGGCCCTGGAGAGGGTCATTGGAGGGAAGGACAAAAGGGGAAGCATTCTATAGGTCTAATTTCTCTACTTTATCAACCCAACCTTGTGTGAATATTAGCAGAGAAAGTCCCCCTCTATCTTCCTTCTGGAAGGGAAGAGCACATTTTTGCTACAGAGTCTTTTTGTGCTGATTATTTTGGAATGCCTCTCACAGGAGGCAGCCATGTTTCGAGTGTGCTCAGGCCAAAACACAGAAGCACACAGAACTATACTTTAAGCTGGTTGGCATACTGTTAAGCATCTAACGTTATTGCTTCATCCTTAGATCATAGCTACTTTTGTTGTGTTCGGTTTTTAAATATTGTGTATACCCTTGGAGACTTCTTTTGCTGCATCTAAACTACTACAATAAATATAAAGTACACACTTAACAAGGTTATTCTCCATTTATAATTTTGGACAGACAAATAACAACCTTTTGGGAAACTTATTGGGAAAGATCATCTCCTAACAAGAAATTGCTCAGAAATTGTATGGGAAAGCTGGATACTTTCCCATCCCCAGCTGATCCTTATCATGTCTCTATTGACTCTGCTCTGACTCCTTTGCTGGATAGTGTGTTCCTTATTATGCAAGTGTAATGTATGAGAAGCAAAGTGATTGGTTGAGCCCTCTGGCTTCACTACACTCCCTCTACAGCACATCACCATCAATGAGAGCCCTGGGGCAGGAATGGGGCAGGTGTAACTGTGGAACTCTGGACCTGTCCCCACAGCCCTGTTGATGTGCTTTCAAATTGTCATCTAAACAAATTACTATAACATAAATATACGTATATCATTACTGGCATGATAAACCAAGACTTGAAGCATACAACAGTAATACGAAGATTATCTTACCTGTCTAAGAAAGAAAATAAGGAACAGAATGGGTTCTCTAAGAATTAAAGCTCAAACACTCTAGTAGACTTAATGCTTTTTTAAAAAAATCAACACTGCTTACATTCTGCCAATACATCATATTTCTTACTTGGCTAGCCAGTATACTGGAAGAATAAAATACCGTCCATTTCAATTCTTGAAAACATTCCCAGAATAAAAAATATCCAGTTTTACAACTCATTTTAGAAGCTGTTTTTCCTTTGGGAAATAAATCAGCCTCATCCAAGTGATCAGTTCTGTTTAAAAATTTTCAAAATAAATTATGTCCCTTTTGAATGTTGTTTGTTATTCCTTCCTGAAATGGTGTTATGATTCCTACAATTTCTGCTTTCACAACACTTCAGTTTTATCCTTCTGTTAATATAATTTCTACAAAGAGGATATAAAATCCTTTATGCTAAGATATATCATTCTTTGGACAGAAGTCTTCATAGTGTTGCATTAGTAATTATTATTACTATAATTGTAGTAATAACAATTATCAACCTCCTCCTCATCTATTCTAATTTAGAGGCAATCAGTAACAGTGTCTCTGATGTGCCTAGCTAAATCAGACTGTGTTTCATCTGTGATTACCATTAAATAGTGCCTCTTTAAAATTCAAGTATAGCAGCTGAATTTTTTCACATTTGATATAATTTGGAGAAGGGTGGGAAATAAGTGTTATGGATGGAGGGGACTCCTTTGTATTGGGAGCAATTTGGCTGAGATTAATTATAACAGTTTGTTTTTAGAAATATATTACCTGTCTTCTGATATTCATATCAATCCTTTTATTGCAAAGTGACTCAAGGAAGGAAGGGAGGAAATCCTATTTTCCTCTTTTTCTTTAGCATTTGGATAGCTTAAGGAAAATGACTCTGGGCCAAAGGAAGTGATAATAATCTTCTTCAGGTTAGTCCTCAGCCAGCCACTTAGCTCACAGGAAAAGCAAGAGTAAGTGGACATTTTCTGGCTCAGTTAAGCCTGTAAGCCTCTACATAACAGAAATGAGAAATACTTTGAAAATTTTATTTCGTGTTTCTTTATAATTAGAATACTTGAACAATTGGAAATATCATGCACAAAATTACAATCCCAGCTTGCACAAACATGGATTGCAGGTGTTTCTCAAGGCAACTTTATTCGGTTTAATGCTCGCTTCAGTGCTTTCTTCACCTCCTGATTCCTCAGACTATAGATTAGGGGATTCAGCATGGGAATTACCATAGTGTAGAAGACAGAGATAACTTTATCTCGGCCAAGTGAGTAGCTGGAAATGGGTCTGACATAGATGAAAACAGTGGTGCCATAGAAGATCAAGACAGCTGTCAAATGAGAGACACATGTGGAGAAGGCTTTACGCCTGCCTTCAGAAGAGCGAATCCTCAGGATGGCAGCAACGATGTATATGTATGAGATAAAGATCTGCACTGAGGTGAAAATACCCTGAAATGTACCGAATGTATAAAGCACAATCTCATTGCTGAATGTTCTACTGCAAGAGAGTTTTAATAGTGGAGGAATATCACAGAAATAATGATTTATAACATTGGAGTGGCAGAAGGAAAGTCTAAAGGTTGAGATCGTTTGTACAAGAGCATGAATGAAGGCCATTATGTAAGTCACTCCTACCAATTGGGCGCACGCTTTCTTAGTCATAATGACTGTATAGAGGAGTGGGTTACAAATTGCCACATAACGGTCGTAGGCCATTACAGCTAGGAGAAGGCACTCAACACTGGCAGTAAGGACAAAGCTGAACAATTGTGTAACGCAGCCAGCAAAGGAAATTAATTTCTTGGAAGTTAAGAAGTTGGATAGTGTTTTAGGTGTTATTGTGGAGGAATAGCAGAAATCTACAAAAGCCAAATTATTGAGGAAATAATACATGGGAGTATGGAGTTGAGAATCAAAGCGGATCAAGCTAATCATCCCAAGATTTCCCATGCAGGTGATAAGATACATCAGAAGGAAAATGACAAAACAAATGGTGGCCAAGCTGGGATTTTCTGTGAGTCCTAACAGAAAGAATTCTGTTACTGCACTATTATTTTCTCCTGCCATTGTGTTGCTTGATGGTGTGTGGTCTCTCCTCTTCAGCAAACCTGAAAAGAAATGATAGATATTAGAAAAATGTTATGGTAATCACCACTGTGTCCTTTCCTGCTCTTGGACAGCACATCTAGGGGTTTGTGTGTTTGTGTGTATATCTATGTGGATGGATGGACGGACAGACAGACAGACAGACAGACAGACAGACAGACAGACAGACAGACAGACAGACAGACAGACAGATAGATAGATAGATAGATAGATAGATAGATAGATAGATAGATAGATACATAGATAGATACATAGATGTACACAAGATGATCCAGGTTCGTAAAGTATAAAATCTTATAGCGTACGAAATAAATATAGTTTATGAAATGAAATAAATATAAAAGCACCACAATATTAAGAAAAACCCAACATGACAAAAAAGAATATAATAGTGTGACGAAATATAATACTGATTTACTGATTGTACTGAATGATACAGAAATACTTCTTAAGAACTGGACACAAATAATGTAACAAATATAGGAAATTCAAAGTGTTAACAACACAAAGAACCACCTACAACAAATTTTTCAATGCTGAACTGTCATAGTTTATAATGCATCCAAGATGAACAAAACTAAAATAAATAAATTACTGATATGCAAGTTTGCTTTCTGGAAGGAAGGAAGGAAGGAAGGAAGGAAGGAAGGAAGGAAGGAAGGACCCACAATTTGTATAATATGGAGATCAATATTCTGGAGTAAGACTGGGGAGATATTGGATCAAATCCTCAGTAGCCCATGATAGTATTTACTTCTCATCCTGCTTACCACTCAAGATCATTATAAGGCTAAATGCAAAGCCACCATGCCTTCACTGCATATTTTCTTATTCCTACCTGCAATAGGAGTTTGCTGCTCTATTGAATTTTTTTCTCCCACAGATCTCTGTAATAATAAAAAGACAGAATAAGTATTGAGAAACTTTTGAGAGATTATATTTGGCTTTTCATACCATCAAAACCCTGCTAATATTATGTGAAGGAACCATGTGATTCATCTGGAATCAGCTGAAACAGCAGACCAATGAATGAAAACACTCCAAGGACATTTGCATTGGAAATACTAAGCAAAAATGAACTTCTCTTAGAGTAGTGTTGTCCAAACTTGGCCACTTTAAGATGAGTGGCTGGGGAATTCTGAGAGTTGAAGTCCACTCATCTTAAAG